ACCGAAGAATCTTAGGTTTTCTCGCCTGTTGTACACCTCTTGATACAATATTTTGTCCTCAAGTTCCTTGATTTTGACTTCGTTTTCTTTATCATTCTTCTTTAGGTCTTCAATTTCGGCGTTTGCAAATTCCATTGACTTGCTGAGGTCGTTAACTTCGCCTTCCAATTTTCTTGTCTTCTCGCCAGTCTTATTCAGCTCAGTTTCGAGCTTATTAACCGACTTCTCCAAAGCGGAGAAACGTTCAAATATACCTTCTAGATTCTGTAACCTGCTTTCTACTCCTGCGAGCATTTCGAAGATCCGTTCCAATTGTGTCGCGATTTTTTCTGTCATGTTCAGGGCCTCCAGAACTTGATCGTCCTCGCTAAATACTACGCCAATGTTCGGTTCCGAACGAGGACTGTTGCAAGCCTTTTTCCTTCTGGAGAGCAAATATCGCTATCAGAGCTGATACTAACACTTGCCTTCGTTTTCCGTTTACAACTTTGAGCCATAGACTAGGTTTAAGGACTACAAATTTTTAAGAAAGGACAAAAAGTTCACGGGAGTGAAACATCCGTCTTCACTCGCACATGGTCGCCCCAGTCTCTCCAAATAATAATCACGAGCTCCTATCGTAAGGCTACTCAAAGTAAATCTACTTAGCCTCGATCTCATTATCTCGCGGAGACCCTTTATAAGAGGGTGTAACCTTTTGTTAATCCTCTCGGTCTGAAAGCTGACATCAAGCCGAATCTTCGATAGCTGACCCGCTTATCCTTTGAACAAGCAATCGACCCGCCTCCTCCCCATTCTTCCACCTTTTTTTACTTGCTTTAGGTATTCTTGTAGTTTAGTTGCCTTTTTCTTCTGGCCCTCACCTTTGCTAGACCTATAAATTCGTAAACATTATTTCATATTTTAACATTGATAAGATGATTGTACAGATTTGAATAAAACCGGCCATTAACTTAGCCATGTTTTTAATCCCAGACCATAGTCTCAGTTTTCTTTGTTTCCTAAGTTAGGCGTCTAGCAAACAAAGCTCGGCTGTTGGCAGTAAAGGGGGGTTTATTGTTAGTGTTTCAGTAAACCGGGGAGGAGACATAAATAGCATTATCGCCTTCAGGGAGACTTGAAATGCAAGGCTGAGTTATAATGAAGCACGGTGAATAGTTTATGACCAACGTAACAGTCCAAATCGATTGTCATAAGAAGAAAAAAATTGTCAAAGTAAGCACTGCTTTGCACCACTTTTTATAACTTTGGTAATGAGAGTAAAAGCCTTTAAAGTCGTCCTTCATAACTCAAGCTGAATAGCTCTTGTAACGATGGCACTACCAACAACTTTTGTTTTATCTTTTCTTTTATGTTCAAAGGTTTGTCTATTCAAGCTTTGGCGCTCTTCTTTACTCTATTATCCAGTGCAACAAAGACAAAATGCTTGCAATAGCAGACGAAGTTACAAACAAAATGAATAATTAATGCCATTTATACGTTATATATGTACTCTAGTCCATTGTAGGCCCTTATGTTTTCAACTATTTTAGTAATTGTTATGTTCCACACGACTTGTGGTTAAGAGTTCCAATGATTTTATTTTCCTTGTCTCTCCAGATCAGCTTTTGCTACAACCGGCGATTTAATACACCACCTTAATAATCACCACGGTCTGGACTTGAAGATTGAAAGCATGACGTTTAAAGACATGACAGAATTCGAGAAATGGAAGAATGAAGAAGAAAGGATGACAAAGAGTTGGTATGTGAAACACCGTGTTGACAGAAAGACCAAGCAGTACACAAAATCATGGTTGCGATGCAATAAAACTGGCACGTTTGTCTCCAAAAGTACAGGAAAGAGAGCAATGAAATCACAAGGATCTTGCAAGACTGGATGCTCATGTCCTGCGTTTATCACAACAAGAAGGTATCACGCAACAGGAGAGGTGCAAGCAGAGTTCTGTTTGAAACACGTTGGGCACAGACAGGGGAACGCCTTCAACAAAATGTTGAAGGAAATGCGCACCACCATTGCAGCTAAGCTTTCTCAAGGTATAAACATGAGCTCTGTAATGGACTACATACGGGGCAGTATGTGTGGGCCGCTTAATAGGGATCACTTAATAACCCATGCAGACCTACACAATATCAAGCAACAGTATGATATAAACTGTATGCAGAAAGCTAGTGATGACACTGACAGTGTTCTCTACTGGGTACAAGAGATACAATGCGAGGAATTCAATCCAGTTTTGTTCTTCAAACCACAAGGCCAGAAATCCAATTTCAATGGTGTGGAAGAAAAAGATTTGCTTCTAGCATTGCAAACGCAGTTCCAAAAAGAAATGTTTGAAAAATATGCTCAGAAATTAATATGCTTCGACGCAACCCACGGTACGACGGCATATGACTTCCAGCTAGTCACAGTTCTTGTTACAGATGACTACAACAAAGGTATACCGGTAGCGTGGCTCATTAGTAACAAAGAAACGACGGATGCTTTGAAGATCTTTTTTTCAAGTTTACAAGAACGCTGTGGCGAAGTACAGACAGAAACGTTTATGAGTGATGACACAGACGCTTACTACAACGTCTGGGTTTCTACATTTTCGAGGCCGGACTGGAAACTGATATGTAGCTGGCACATCGACCGCAGCTGGCGACGAAAACTGAACGAACATTTGAAAGACAAGGAACGAATGGCTGAGGTATATGCCGCACTGAAGTCTTTACAGAATGAGTTATCCGAAACAAGCTTCAGGCGTTCCTTGCAGCACTTCATGGCGTGGATCAAGGGCAAATCAACAAGGGGAATCAGTGAAGAAGGAAGCGGTTCACAAGCACGATGAGAACTTCTGGAATGTTCAGTCGGCCTCTAATAAACAAACTGTGCATCATGTGAGAAGAATAAGTTCAGGTTGCTCATGCCTGTTTAATTGCCCTTCCTGTGATGCTTGGGTACATACCTTTGAATGTTCTTGTACTGATTATTCTATAAAGGGTGTGTTGTGCTCCCATATCCACTCTGTAAACATCCTCTACCCAAAAACCACAGCTGCTGATTTAGAATTTCCTGGTACAGAGCTGGAGACCACCAGTGACAGTGACATAGAGAAGAAACGCGAAGAGTTGTCTAATATTATTCAACAGGACAAACAACTCCACGAAAGCAAACAGCTGGCTGACCTCAAAACATATGCACTTGATCAGATTGCTGAATTGAGTGAATTGATTCAGAGTGCCCCGACAAAAGACACCATAAATACAACACTGAAGCACATTCGATCTGCAATATCAGTGGTTAAGGGATTGTCTGTCATTGGATCTGACCATCAATACCTGAAAACACAGTTGTTTCCACCTAATAAACTGTATGAAGCAAGAGCGCTTCTTTTCTACAAAGAAAAAAAGGACAGTTCATCGTGAGAGGGCTAATTTGTCAGATGCCACTGCAAAGGAATTGGAGGACATGGAAGTCCAAGTGTGTGCACTTTGTTTCAAGGAAAACCCACCTGGTGAAGACAAGGACACATTTGAGTGGATAGAGTGTGAAAAGTGTCAATGCTGGGTGTATGAGGTCTGTGATTACATTGATGACAAGGCAAACTACATATGTTGTATGTGCCACTCTTGAACATTTCCGAAGAAATAATTTTGTGTGAGTATTGTATAAATACTTCATTTCAGACCTCATTCAGAATCTCTAACCAGGACTCCTACTTTAATATGTATGATCCGAAACAGAAGTCCATCTTCAGTGCCGGATCCAGAACTTGAGATAAAGGGGGGGGGGGGGAGGCCAGTCACACAGACCCTGAGACAAGAGGGGAGCATAACGGGGGGAGCCTGGTCCCCCCAAAATTTTTTTGTAACCTTCAGGTCTCAGTTTGGTGTAAAAATAAGGGGGGCCCATCACGGGCCCCTCCCCTGGATCTGCCACTGATCTTAAATGCGCAGAACAGGAACTTAATAGAGCAGTTTATAGTAAACATTGGTCAAATGTCTCATGGCATTTTAGCGAGTTCATATTGACATTTGATGAGATTGACATTTTCAAGCAAACATTCCAGAACTTTTTTCTTGCCCTTTATTCACTTTGTCACTGATCACAGAACTTGATCTGCAAAGCAAGGGGAGATGGAGTTAAAAGAACTCGGCAGTATAAATTACTAATGAATGCAATGATTAACTACTGAGTTCCCGTTGTAATATTATTGTTATAAAACTATCTATGTTACATGAAGACTTCAAGATGATTTCAGTCTGAGGTTATGTGACTGCTGAGGTGTCGTTGTTGGGAAATGAGTATAATTAAGCTCAACAAGAACAAATGCGTTATTGCTGAGATAAAATGAATACCTTTGATTAATTCTTTAATTATGTGCTTTACTTTGTTATAAAATCATAACTGTCTTGCCAACTATTACGTTTCTTGCACACCCTTCGGTGGAAATACTTTCCATTATACACAGGAAAACAACAAGATTACGCTTGAAACAAACTGGCCCTACATTATCACCTTATATGACGAGTGTTTTTTAACCGTGGGAGACGCATGCTGTTAAGACTTACATCAATATTGTATATATATGGGCAAGAAAAGTGTATTTTATTACAAACGTGCGAGCATATATAATCAAGGGCTTGGGCCCACTTCATGTAGTAGTCACGAGGTATAATCCTTCATATATACGGCACCGAATATAACATTAGTCACAACATCTCCCTCCAAGTTTAAGATACCTATATTATTATTATTAAGTGCAATTAATGATATGGAGATATATAAACAAAAAAAAGAAAAAAAACCTATGAGAAATAGAAATCAATACAAATAAATAAACAAAAGCTATCCTATGTTCTGTGTGAACTAAATAAACTATATTTGGGTACACAACACTGCATGTGACCCATATCAGTTTTAAACCTATTCAGTTCATATCCTATTCAGTTCAATTCAGTTCCTATTCGATATTCCAAGCTGCTCTAAGTGTAGTACACAAATCTCCTCGTAATTCAAGTAATAAAGTCATTCAGGTATGCAGGTCGTCGCCTGGTCCCTTTCGGTCTACTAGGTCTTGTGGAACTACTGGATGGCACAGAAGTGTCTTGGACTGCCGGGCTTGGCATATCCACTTCCTGACAATTCACTGCTGTCGTTCCTCCTTCCTGTTGACTGCTTCCACTACCACTCTGTTCGGAGGGGTTCTCTTGCACTGGCTCTGCAGTTGTCTCTTGTCACGAGGAGCCGCATGCAGTAAAATTTCTGTCCCGTAATTTAATCAGTTAAATCATCAAAGTTGACAGGTCTTTCTGATGATCAAAGCGACCGTTCGGTTTACCATTTACACCTTTAGTGCGAAGACTGTCACGGGAACATTAACACCTTCAGGATAATTGCTTACCATAACAGTGGTAGGTCGCGCGCGTCTGGTCGGTTTCGAAGAACGTGATCGTGACTGTTGTTTTCATTCAGTGACTGTGCGCGTTGATATGCCAACGTTTAAAACAGACTGCAACATTAAATTTTTGTTATAAAAGCAAAGGAGCTGCTGAGTAGAAACTAAACCGTCCCAGACTTATTCCGTTTCATTCGTGTACTTTCATTTTGATGGGGTCTGTATGATGAATTTACTTCTGCCTTCTAATCAGGCACGTAAACAACATAGAGATAAAACATTTCATTTTGCTTTTGTGGAGTAAATTCATCTTAAAAAAGTTAAACTAGGGGACCACTTTCTCCGTGTACTTGTAAAAATAGGCATTCAATATGTCGCGCTACAGTGAGAAAATCTTCTTGTCGTGGATTAGATTTCAGTATACATATTGTTAATCTTCATTTCGCGCCAGAATAAATTAGTTTGCGCGCAAAGGGCTTCTAAAAAAAGATCACAAGGTTTGTCCCACGTCGAGTCCACCTTCTAGAGATACGCCGGCATGGTAGCTGGAATACATTGCCGAGGCGAAGATCTGGCATTTTTTCCTCCTCGTCTTTTTTTCTCCGCGACGTTTGTTTATATTTGTAGTGAGAATGCCGCGCATATCAGTGGATTTTACTTCAGTCGAGCGGCTTCAGTTCCTGCGGCTTGCTACTCATCATAAAGAAGAGTGCCGGAATCGCTTTGTTCGCCTTTAACAGATTTGTTGTCGAATGCAAGGTAAAAGAACGGACTACTGTAAGGTAAGAATTGAAGTTTAAATTTGTTTCTCGGCGAAAAATAGTGCATACAACTCGTGAAACCCGTGAGTATTACCTCTGTTTAATATACCGGATGTCATGCGATGACCCCTCGCTTTTACGATGGATAGGACGGATACAAACAATAATTTCTTTCGCAACGTTTAGTATCATTTACTTAATATGGAGATCATCTGAGGACGATTTTTCGTTATATATGCTTCATTTCTTGGCTTATTCCGGCTACGTGCGAAAACTTAGATGACAATGTTTGTGTGCTATAATTATACTGATAATTTCTTGCACCTTGAAACTCACGAAAGCCAAACTTGTTTAACCCTAGCAAAAAACTCTTTTAATGGAGGAACTCAACCTGATAGTTGCACTAAAATCTAATAATTGTTACTGCATTTGAATGCTCTCTGTAACCTCGTGGGTAGAACATACCCGATGGTTACATTAATAATAATCACTGCATTTGCTCTCTGTAACCTCGTGGGTAGAACATACCCGAAGGTTACGTTAATGATAATCATTGCATTTTCTCTTTGTAACCTCGTGGGTAGAATATACCTGATGGTTACATTTAAAATAATAATCACTGCTTTTGCTCTCTGTAACCTCGTGGGTAGAACATACCTGAAGGTTACGTTAATAATAATTGCACTTTCTCTTTGTAACCTCGTGGGTAGAACATACCTGATGGTTACATTAATAATATCACTGCATTTGCTCTCCGTAACCTCGTGGGTAGAATATACCTGACGGTTACATTTAATAATAATCACTGCATTTGCTCTCTGTAACCTCGTGGGTAGAACATACCTGAAGGTTACGTTAATAATAATCATTGCATTTTCCCTTTGTAACCTCGTGAGTAGAATGTACCTGACGGTTACATTTAATAATAATATTAATCACTGCATTTGCTCTCTGTAACCTCGTGGGTAGAACATACCTGAAGGTTACGTTAATAATAATCATTGAATTTTCTCTTTGTGACCTCGTGGGTAGAACATACCTGATGGTTACATTAAAAATAATCGCTGCATTTGCTGTCCGTAACCTCGTGGGTAGAGTATACCGGATGGTTACAATAATAATCATTGCATTTTCTCTTTGTAATCTCGTGGGAAAAATATTAATGCCTCTCTCCT